ATGAAATATTATCTCAATTAGAGAAAGAAAGGTAAGCTTAATAAGCCTAGTAATATACTTACATATGTTTTTTGCACAGTGTATGGTGTAAATATTCCCACCCCCAAAAAAGCATCATGAGATTTTATGCGCCGCCCCCAAAGGCGTTGGATGACATCTTCTCTCTCTTTCGTTCTATGAATCGACTGCATCCTTTTTCGTCCAAAGGATGGATGGATAAGACAATCGTAACAGTAATTTTTTATTTAAGCACAGTTAAAATTTTGTAGTTCCTGTGCGGTTTCGAAATGATTTATTTTAGAAAAATATGTGATGGCTGGCAAGAAATTTAATCTACAATATAATTAGTGTCGCGTTTTCCGACTTGTGAAAACCACCGATTCAATGCAATGGAATTTTCATTTTTGAACAAAACAAGCTATGATAAAGATTGTATATATAATTCGAATACCCAATTGCACAATTCGAATACAAGTGCCGGAATTTCGGTCGCTAATCATATGAGTCATTATAATCTGATAATCGACTCCAGCTATAAGTTAAGGGCCAACGAGAATGCCATTAGAAACTCTCTGAATCAAGATACGAATATATTTTTTTCGAAAATAACGAATGTGGCTGAGTTTTATCCCGGAACACATAATATTACGTCCTATAATTCCGGTAAGTAACGAGACTTTCAACTTGATTAACTTTGAGCAAATACATACATATGTATGTAACAGATTGGATTAAGAATTTTGATCATCAGGTGAATTATTTACACAAGAGTCGGAAGTAGCGTACATACCCTGCTTAATAAAACCTTCTAATGAATGCTAAAGCTAATTTATATTTAAATTTACCTATGGAAATAAATAAATACACAATCAATCGGTTGTTTCCGCTGCTTCTAATTCGTATTCCTCTTCCATAAAAGATTAATTTTAGATGCAACATAAAACAAATACATATGATGCCTTTATCATCAATGCCTGACTCCTAAATACCCTTCATCATGCGCAAAATTTACTTTCTAGAACATTTTGTCTGGTAATTTTTCTTCCTTCAAGCAAAGCAGTTGATATATTGATGGATTTCCATTATGTTTATAGATATTTAAGAAAAATCATAGGATTATGATACAGAGTCTATATTAATCTGAATATTGCAAAACTGTTGATGTTCTTTTTGCCAGCTTTACAACTTTTGAGTAGGCTTACTCTATTTATATCTATCAAGCATTGGTTGTTATAGAAACCCAATACTTTACAGACTTGCCTGGTTTCGAAGGCACGCAAGTCAGTTATATGCTAGGTTAAGGAAATAATATCGTGTCAAAAAGGACTTGACTTTATTGTCTACAGCAAATTAACTATTTATCCACCCTGTGGTAATACAATTGAATAACATTTTGCACGCCTTTTAACAGTCTGTTTGTTAGACGATTATATTTAAGGCGCATTGCCATGAGGGATGATCCTGAAACAGCCTCCGAGCTGGTACACGTGTCATAAGTCCCATTGTAAAAGCAATTAGTCTAATTGAATATATGTATGTTGTAAAAGAAATAAACAAACCTATCCATAATTTATATACATATAAAGCTTTAGGGTGGGG